AATATTGAATATCGTTGCGTGTATATAGATGAAATCGTCGTAGGAACATCGGACGTCGAATCCCCGCTCCGTCTCGGATTGGACGTTGCTTTATTGGACGTAGCGGTAGTTTATAGATTCCGATTTTCTCGACGAGATCCGCGCGCGTTTGGGTTTCGCCTTCTTTTACCATCTTATTCGCGCGCCTTCCTCTCGCTTACGCCTTCCATCCTATCGCTTCCTGCTCCCGGGCTGCCGCATGCTTTATTCACGGCGCGGCCGAGCTCGTCTTGGCCTGAGCATCCAACGTCGGAATTCGTTACGCGATCAACGATGGACGACTTCTTTTTCGCGCACGCCGGCTCGATCGATACGCTCGTCGTACTCCGGGATCGATCAGACGATTTCGTCTTATCGTATAACGCCGCTTTGCCGCGAGAAGGATTTGCCGCTGCTCTTCTCCTCCTCCGTATCGCGCCAACCAGAGTGTCTCGGCGAAGATGTAACGCGCAAAAAAATAGCCAAGTTGGAGCGAGTCTGATCTTATCGTTCGATGCACGTTCTCGAAGACGATGATAAAGATACTAAGATTGCACGAGCGCGTGTTCATGGAAGCAAAATTGCCTGGTTTCTCGGTTATAACTCGAAATCTCTAAGCGATCGTTGCTGCTGTATTTCTCTTTATCGAATATACAATTTACTCGATTTAAAAAGTTATTATTTCATAATCATTTTGCTATAAAAAAATATTCATGCAACGATTAATATTTTCTTTTTATTTTCCAAAATTGCGCATGTGGATCGTAGTCGAATAATCATCGGGTAAACGTGCTCGATATTTTCCTAATACAAAATTTATAATATTGAACGTGCGTTGAACCAATCACAAACAAACTCAAAATGGTAAATTTTATTTTTAGAAAACACGCGTTAACTATATCGATCCGTTTTGCTGGTTGCTTTTAAAATGCGTCAGGGAAAAGAACGTGCAACTCCCGTTTCGCGTGTATTCTTTGAGCATCACGCAGCAGCCGTCTCTTTGTAGGATGCGCGGAGCTTAAAACCTCCCGGCCGTCTATTCTAGCCACGTACTATAACTCGCCTGGAACGCGTGCGGTCCCTCAGGGCGGACGCACGAACTCGTTTCTTCCCCTTATGAAATTGTAACGGAGGCAGGATTAGCATGGAACATTGTCTCCGTGGCGAAGGGTAGGTTCACGTTGTAGCGAGATACTATCGAAATTGACCCGACCGTCGAAACGTACCCGAATTTCCATTCTCACTTTCGTTCCCAAAAATACGTCATTTTAAATGTACATCTATAATCTTGAGGAATGTGACTCTTGTATTGTGTGCGTATGTTTCTTGTTCGCATATATCTATCTTCGGGTTATCGTCAAAATGGAAATTTATGGAAAACGAGCCAGAAATGGACTGAATAAAAATTTTCTGTTATCCCCTTATGAAATTGTAACGGAGGCAGGATTAGCATGGAACATTGTCTCCGTGGCGAAGGGTAGAGGTTCACGTTGTAGCGAGATGCTATCGAAATTGACCCGACCGTCGAAACGTACCCGAATTTCCATTCTCACTTTCGTTCCCAAAAATACGTCATTTTAAATGTACATCTATAATCTTGAGGAATGTGACTCTTGTATTGTGTGCGTATGTTTCTTGTTCGCATATATCTATCTTCGGGTTATCGTCAAAATGGAAATTTATGGAAAACGAGCCAGAAATGGACTGAATAAAAATTTTCTGTTATCGAATTGTTTACAGAATTTTCCAATCTTTATCCTATGATATATATAATAAAAAAAATAAAATAAAATAAAATAAACAACTAGAAAAAATTTCTAAACAATCCAATAAATTTTCAGTGATATCAGAGCAAACGATTAATCGTTACGACTATTGGAAAATTTTATGTAAGTAGTAGTCATTTAAAATATATATATATTGATTATATAATCGCCACATTCTCATCCGCTCAAGATCTAAATAACCATTTGAACGTATTTTTCACGTTTATCACCCATCACTTGGCTATGTTACCCTTCATGCTCACTCGACTTACGATATATATAACTGCCTAATGCCTTCCAGTCGATCCAGCCTCATTCAATATTATATCCCCCCTCGCAGCATCCGCAACAATCCTTCCCGCAGCCGGACGATCAGCATATATGTAAAATGCAAAATTGTATCATCCCACGCGTGTGGTATTCTTTCTTGCATCTCCTTCACCTCTCGCGTCCACATATCTCGCTTTCCAGTTTACCCTACATCAGCATCCCCGGCAGATCGAAATGCTCTAGGGACTTAGAGAGGGAACAAAAGAAGGGGAGAACGGTTTCTGCGGCCTGCTCGGGCCCGCGCCCGTTAACGTTTTACGGCCACATATCCGACTACGAGGAAAATCGAAATTCCATGCTCGTTCATTCTCAATGGAATCGAATTCTGCGGTGATGGTAACACACCGATCTCGTAATGCGATTGTAACCGTAATCGAACCATTCGTTCGCATCCCGAAATGACGAAATCAGACAGCGATAAAATTTGCTGAAAATAACATATTTTACTCGTAATAATTAACCGCACGTGATTGTTTAATGTAATCGCACAAAGTAAGTTGTCCGTTGTTGGTGAAACCACTAGGTATTAGAATTATTTCATGTTGTTTTCCTAAACTCTGCAGCGGAAACGCTATCCTTGGCACATTTTCGAGCAAGTTGTGCGCGCGGAAACCCAGCATGCGGAACCTAAGTTACGTTCGTGCAAACTTTATATCACCGATGCGCGGTGAACTCGCCTAGAACGGTCCGTCCGTGCCAAATATAACTCGCGCGTGTACATCAATTCGCTCTGTGTACCTATTTAATGATCACGTGTAGCCTGAAGGCGAAGAGTAACTATTCACCGTGCTTCGACGTTTTCGCGTCCCCGGTTTCTGTGTGACCGCGTTGTCGTCCACGTTAAAATTAGTTTCAGCGCCGTCACAATCGTCGCATCTGGCATAAAAGCCGAACGAGAAACGACGGGGTGACAGAACGAGGGCGGGCCGGACGCCCCGTTTCCTCTCCTCTGTTCGGGGCAGTTTTTCGTTCTCGCGACAGGTGGTGAACCCAACGATACGAATATAATTGCATTTTCGAATCGTCGTTTCTCCCTATAGTGAAGCATTGGTTCGCCGTTTTTTGTCAGCTACCGATTTGTTCGAGAAATAATTTCTTTTTTCGTCGAAATAAATTTTTTTCCACGGGGATATAAACAGACATAATAATTTTATACAAAATTTAATAAAAAAATTAATGCATTAAGAAAAGAGAGAGAGAGTATTATTATCTGTTTTAAGAAAAAATATACTTGCGATTCGCCGTATAAAAGTACTCGAAATTATCCAGAACGACTTCTCTCGTATAAAACGTTCCGCTGTGTGTATATATTCGTTCTTGGAAATGTTTCGTTATATCATCCGAGCATTCTTCACCTCTTTCGCGAGGAAAGTCTGTAGATAACCGTCTATTTTCTCAAACAGTAGAAACCGACTGCAAAATCGTGCCGCGCGATAACGTAGAAACTCCGACGCTACTGTCGAAGTACTAGATACGAACTCTACTTGCCGGAAGCTGTAGGTCGAGAGCGGAGGTCGAGGCAGGTGGAAGAGCTGCTCGTTGGAAAGAGCTGGGCGATTTTCCAATCGGGGCCGCGGGGTGTTGTCGGAACGTTCGTTGTTCTCTCGGAAGGGAACAAATCGACGAACAACGCCGACAATTGGATTTTATTCCGCTCGAAGTCGGACGAACGAGATGGTCTGTAGGTAGCCACCACCAGGTGGATGCGACTCCGGCGCACCTTGTCGCAACCGGAGAGGGTTAAAAAGCAATTTTCCTTCTCCGGTCGAGCCGAACGAGCGTCTCTGGCAACCGACTACCGTTCCTGATGTAGAAGGACATCAGGAAGGCGAGACAGCAATTTTGATTCAATTCCCGATTCACCGAGCATGTCGCATTTACCAAAACTCCCCCAAAAGAATATGCATTTGTGCGCGCAAAAAAATATTAAATATCACGATTCGAATGGAAACATCAAGTTACGGATCATCGAAATTTGAGATGAATGATAAAAGACGCAAAACATTTTATAATATAACTCGATAGCTTCGTGATCAAAACACATCCGCAATTGTTTGTATCTCGGCTGCCACTCGGACGAGAATGCATATACGCGGATGCACTTTGCGAGTTTTTAAATCGGACCCATCACATGCATTTAAGCCGGACGAGGGAGAGCGTGGAAAAATCATCGTGCGACTCGTTCATCCACAATGGATCGCTTAGCCGGTAGATACACGTCAGCTGTTCCAATGACGTCGGTGTCGTTTCGCTCGACTATGCATGATTGACATTTTTATGGGGACGAGCTTTCCAAGTTACGACCTGGACCTGGCTTTATCGCCCCCTAAAACGGGAGCCAAGCATCACGTGGCGTATTTGATGCTAATCAATACGAAAACGGTCGTAGAGAAAGAGAGCGCGTGTTACGATGAATTAAGTTCTTTCTGAGATTTATTGGCGAATTAATTAGTTGAATTAGATAAATGTGCAGTTTTGAGAAGAAAGAGAGACAGAGATAGAATGAATACGAGGAACTTACAATCTCGAGATAGTACAAGGTATCATTAAAGTTTCTTATAAATGCAAGACATAATTATACTAAATTACTATCTCTATATATTTTGCCCGATGTTTTAAATAATATGTTTAGTATATTAAAAGTAAACACATTATATCGCGCGTTATATAATTAAAATTTTTTCAGTTATTTCTAAAAGCCATATCACATTAAAATACGTCGAGATCCACGTTTTCACTTTTAAAGCTCAATGTGATTGTTTAATTTCGCCTGAATTTCAATATTGCATTCGAAATTAATTTAAGATAACGCACGCTACCGCATTTAATACTAAACGTGCCAAAATGCGGATCTCACAAAATAGCATAAAAGCCTGGACAACTCACCTCGCAGTTGGAATGACTGATGTTGCTCAGATTTAGCCTGAAGATCTTGTCCCTGAAAGCAGAAGAGGAAAGTTTCGTGTTAGCGTAACGGCCGAATTAAGCGTGGTCGCGAGATAGACGAAAGGGTCGAGGGGTAAATTTTCATTCCCAACGTCTGCGAGATGCATTACTCTCCGTGACTCGACCCTACCTTATCTCGCCGCCGTTATATATGGTTGTGTAGCGCCGCGGTACTTTGCTTACGGCTTTCCTGCCACAGCGAACGCTCACAAACGGCACGGAATTTCTATGAGGGTAGAAAAGGAGACCGGAGGCTAAAATGGGATGTGAGTTGCCCGCTCTCTGACCGAGTTTTGCGTTGTCTTTTCTTTGTTCGACGGTGATCCAAAGTCACGTCGTTTTCATATCGTAGTTCGCTTTTATTAGAATCTTATTTCTCGAAAGACCGTCATTCGCGTTTAAGATTTACGGACGAGGACTATAATCTCAAAGTTGAGAGAATTGAAATAAACTATATAGATCATGCGACGCTTCCCGAAAGTTTTTCTATTAAAGTTAATATAAGTACGCGAATACTGATTATTTCACATAAATTGTTCGTGCAGCATTAATATCAAATTTCGAATGATATATTTCATGCGTTTTGATTAATATAGCAGGCACTTGCTACCAGTGCGAAGACCGTGAAACAGTTCTGTGTGTGAAAACACACAAGATTTTCATATAAATTTCCCCGCGACCACCGTGCCGGCAATCTGAGGTGCCGCGCGTTCGATCATACGTGAAAGGTATACGCGCCGCTGGGCGCCGCCGATCGTAAATCGAATTTACCCAGTTTTCAAATGTTTCGCAACATTAACGCCGGCGCGCCGCATAACTTTATCCCAATAGCCATTCATCATCGCCTTTCAATAGAAATACGCAGTCAGACGGAATGCGCACGCGAAACGCGCTAAAAAAGGAAAGAAAAAAAGAAGAGGAAGAACGAGGAAAAGGAAGACCTATCCCTCAGCGGCTCTCCTTTTTCATTCATTCTGTGCATCGCGCCGTGAAAAAGTAAATACCGACGTAGAAAAACAAATCCGTACTTTGGAATCTACCCGCGTCGAACTTTCGTCTCGGCGAACTTTTAGAGGGTTCGGCAGGTGGAAAGGAAATGTGAAGAAGGGGAAAGGGGAGGGGCGCGAAACGACGGAGATCGTCTACGTGCTGGCACGTCGCTCATGCTATCGAAAGAAAAAATTCGTAGAAAAGTAATTTGTAGGGGAAACCTGGCGTAAAAGGTGGGGTTGTGCTGCAAAGTCATCGCTCAGCCGCTTTGAAATTCGATTGGTAAAACGTGCGTAATCAAACTGAAAAATCACTTCGCCATTGAAAATCGCCGAAGAAAAATTTCATTAAGACCTCATTGACACGATTCCGTGACAAGTAAAAAGAAATTTTTTTTTTTTTTTTTTTTTTTTTTTTTAAATAAAGAAAGTGTTACTCGCGAAAATCGGGAAAGAATTTGGTTCAATTTAACATTTTAACATCGCCTGAGGAGCTTCCGCGGGGAAGTTTAATTAAAATCTCTCGAGTAGTTTGCGCAGGTCGTGCTGCAATTTCTTAAACTAAAGACGGCTGTGGAGAAGAAAATTTCAACAAATTTTATTGCTAATTCGCAAATAAGAACGAAAACTTAATTAAAGATCGATAGCGCATTTGCGAAAGTCAGAGTAACGAGTATGACTGCACATATTATCCGTGCTTCCCCGTTCAAAATGGATCGCAGCTTGAAATAACAACTATACGGACACTGCGTTATTTAGTATATATGTAGAGCTCTATATTCGCTCGCGCGTAATACGGACATTTTCACCGCGAGCGAAAAGGAGCCTGACGAATGCCGGGCGAAATCCGAAAAGCATCGTTGTCTGAATTTGTGGCTGAGCGTGACGGACAGCTCTGACCCGGGATGCATTATCCAACGCGTCGAGATCGACTCTCCCTCCTTCACACCGCCCTCCTTCGGAGATTCCGGTCTGGGGAAATACATGACAAGGGCCAGGAAAGTGGCGTTTGCAACAGCGCTATTTATCCCGACGCCTTCGGGAAAGAGATGTATATTCGTGGCAAGATGGGTTTAACATAATAGAACGATTTTAATAATTCCCGGTATAAATCAACGAGCACACATACACATGACAGAATATCGTTACGTCGGCATTTCAATAAACCGCAGTGCAGCCCCGGACGTTATAGAACGTTACTTTTCATAAAATAAATAGTGGAAAGCATGGAGTGACATAAAAGCGCGGATAAAACGTTACGGATAAAATGCACGGATTTAGCACGATTTAATCTAATTCCTCGATACAATTTCATCGGACTACGCCCGACGAGTAATCCACCGCCAAATCGATATACGACATTCGAAGTGCTAACATCGACGAAAACGTCCGGGAGAGAAAGCTCAATTGCCACGGTTGGTTCTACAACGCCACAAGCCCGTGGCAGTTTTCACCTCGCAAGCGTTCGCGACCGTAACTCACTTCTCTACGTTATCACGTGTTTCTGCTGGTTGTTTCAACGAGCGTTAACGGAGGTGAAATCTCTCGCGTAGCGTTTCCAGCAACGGTTACCGAGGACAATTAGGAGGAAAACCGATCGGCAACTGGATGCGACGTGTTAATCCCGTCGCAGTCGCTTTTTCGATCGGATTGTCGCGCTAGCACAATACAAGTCTGGCGAGAAAAAGGACAGGCACCGAACGAGATGAAAATATGATCGACGAATTTTTATCTCGTTTCGCTAGACGCACGGCAGACGAGTCGACGGATATAAGCGAGCTGTATTTTTTTAGTCTATAGCCTGCCCCTGCGCCGGCGAGTCTCCGGCTTGATAATTGGAAGCGTTCAATTAGCGTGCCTTAATTGCGGAGCGAACCGCAACGCGGATACCGATTCTCAAACTACAATTAATGGCTATCACCTTTCTAATTAACGAGGAACGATGCTCGCGCGTGTATCGATCGTCGTGCGCGATAACAGAAAAAAAAAAAAAGAAATCGTAAAGAACGAGTACGGAAGGGATACAAGAAAGGAATCGCGATCTAGCAGGAGATCACGCGAAACGATCTATATGCAAAAAATCGAAACCCATAAAATCATTTAAAAATGACGTTTTGCAAGATTGTGAAGCTTAATCGGTTCTTACCATTCGAAACGTCGAAACGATTTCCTTTTACGAAATTCTTATCGGAATTCTATTCGATATTGTAGTTTTGTGAATAGATACGCGTGTATATATGTATATGACACGGAGCAAAACGATGCAAGTACATGGAACCAAGCCAGGAAACAGGAAACGTTAAAGTCGAAGTAGCCGCTTTCCTTGGGAAATGCAATTTATTGTAACTGTAGTTTTCTTTTTGTCGTCCCATATGGTGAGCTCATCTTGTCGTAGAAACGTAAGAGAGAGAGAGAGAGAGAGAGAGAGAGAGAGAGAAAAGAGAAAAGGATGAAAAGGTCGAGTTATCTCAAAAGCGGAAACTTTTATGCGCTTGTCATTTTTTACTCTCCCGTTGTGCGAAAGTGATTTATATCTTATTTAATTTGATTTTTTTCTACTGCGTTCAAATTACATTGTCGCCAATTTATCTTTTATCGATAGCGAAAAGAAAATTATATATTTTTAGAGTATCATATATAAAAGTCACGGTTGTTTCATAAGTGATGTTAGATACGTAGTATCTATCCAGATAAAATAAAAAGATATAAATTATTATTTGCCTGTATATATTGTAAATTATAATGTTATGAATTTATCAAATCGCTCCGAAGCAACGAAGTCAATTGAATTTCGTTAACGAAAGCATACTTGCTTGTACGAATCAGGAATTGTGAGAGAAGCTCGTAAGACGATCCGTCTCATCTCACAAAGGGATTAAACAAACGTTATTCCTCGTCTGCCTCGGGATTTCTCCGTATCCGCAAGCATTGGAGAACCATCCCCACTGCGTCTCCATTACCGGGGCTTCGTAGCATTTTGCTGGCATTTACCAAATTAAGAGGAAGGAGGGATACGCACAAAAGAGAACGGAGAATAGGAGGGCGAACGTTAGCGGATGGTCCGCCAAGGGTGGCGGCGAGCAGGAACGGCTGGAACCGAATCAAGAAATAATACTCCGCTGGTAATGATGCGACGTCTCTCCCTCCCGCAATCTGTACCGACTCCAGGGAACAGCATAGGGCCGGCCCTTTAGCCTTTGCTCTCCCGCCGAGTCACCATCGAAGAAATAATAACCCGATATACTCGTACGAACGCAACGAAGAGCAGCCGATCGATTTAACGGGTTATTACGGCTACCTAGGGAACGGCAAGAAACTCTCTTCGTGCAACTTTTAATTACGGCTAAGTTCCATGAGAGAACTGAATAGAAGGAGAATTTGGGGGAAATATTGAGAAATAGAGAGAGTTTGGCACAGTATATATAAAACAATCATAGAACATTCGTAAAGAAGAACTTTGATAGCAACGTCATTAATTTAGAACCAAGTATTTTCATCACTGTTTACGATACGTATATTAAATCGTGCGCTTTCGCGTATAATGCTTAAAATTGCTATCTTTCAAGGATGAAATAGCAAATTCATTAATTTTGATCTCTGTTGACATGACGTTTTTCTCATTTCGTCGACAACCATAATTGCCAAGATCGTCAGTTTCGATTTATATTATATGTTTGCTCTCCTTGCCGTTTTCCTCCGCAGCTCAAAGATCTCGAGTAAATTGCCTTTCTGTTAAGTGAAACATTTAGAGCGAGAAAATTCTGATCATCTTCTGTAAAATGAAACAAGCGAGTAAACAAGATTCGCGGTTTTCACGAACAATAAGAAGAAACAGAGCAGTAAAATAAATAAAAAATGTGCATATAATTTTTGCGAATTGAAATAGTCGAATATATATCGAATGAAAACATTTTAAATGACATTTTCAATCTGCTTCCTTCGTAAAAAGACGATATCGAAGCGCCGTTCCATATCGCCTATTCGATGATAATTATTATCCCGAAAAAGCCAATATCATATGTAACGAGTAATCCGTCAAAGTTCGGATTATATCCGATTATCCGGCGACATCGGAAAATTCGATCAAACAGCACGACCCGCGCTTCATCACATACATTGTAAAATTTTAATCACAGCAATCGTAAAAATCCGCAGTGTAGCACGTACATATGTATACAGCCGCGCGACGCTGACGTAATACCTCTGTCCTCAGGCTTTGACGAGGGAACGTGGCAACTTTTCCCGGGGATTTTCATGGCGTGACATTTTATTACGGAGCTGGAAAAAAGTTCTACTTACATAGCTCCGACGTATAGGGCGTCCCTCTTACTGTCCAGATAGAGCGTCCTGTAGTACAGCATGCCGCAGCTGAATTCCCGCACGTGTTCTGAAAGCAAAAGTAAACAAGGGGATTAAACGCGATGTCGTGGCACGGCGAAATTCATTTTCCGCGGCGCGAAAACGCGGCGAAGCCGCCGCATCGCGGTCGTGCCGCGTGCTCGCTTCCCGGGATCGTTAGATTTTCATTATGACTTTTATAATAACGCCCGGATAGTAAAGGGCGCCAACTCCCTCTCCTCCCCCTCCTGTCGACCCCGCGCCTGGGTAATCCGGCTAAAGTCAACTTTGACTTATCTCTACCGTAAACTCGTCGAAATTACACGGCACGTAATGCGCGCTCGACAGTTTCGTTCCATCGGCTAGCGCGAATTCCAGATGAAATCCGCGCCGCGGAAACGTCGAAGATCAACGCGCGAATTGATATTAGCGAGCTAATAAATCGAAAAGAATTTTTGCTATTGTCGTTGATGTAAATGCGAGTTTGTGATTCGGGACAAATATTTGTACGATAACACAAGCATTAATTTTTCTTCAAGTCCCGCGAAATTTCGTTAAAAAATTTGAGCATATATTATTACATATATTTTTATCTACTTACAATATTTCAAAGGAAGAAAGGACATATTGCGAAAGCTATCGCAGTATTTAAGGGTATTAAGTCAAATCGATTATCATTTGCACGTCGAGAGCTAGACTGCATAAAATTCACGGACCAGCCGTTGGAACGCCAACAAGAAAGAACGGTCGCTGCGGTGGCTCTTGCCATCCTCGCTCCTCTTTCTCTTCTTCTATCTCATCGACACTGATCTGTTTAACATATGAAAGAAAGCCGCCCCTTTCTAAATATACTCGTTCCACTCTGAACTAACAGAGCGCGAACAATACTATATTTTATACGGTATCAAGAGGGGCTGACGTCGAATGAAAGGGGTTCCTATTCTAGAACAGAGCTACTCTTCCTCCGCATCTATCCCTTGTTCCGCCCTTCTTTCCTCCCGTCTCTTCTCTGGCGTCTCTCTTTTCCACGCACGCTAACCAACTCTTCTCTCTCCTCTCGCGAGCGCGGGGGATGCAAAAACGCGATCTCGTTTTATCTCTGCGAAACGACCCACGTTACGCCGCGCTCCCTCTAATGTCGGACTTATTCAAAACCAATGTGAGCCATAGCTCGTTAGATCGGCCCAGATAAACCACGCTTCTAGACTGTGTGTCTCGAGAGGCTTCGAAATTTATATTCACTCGCAAACACACACACGCGCAATCCCGTTTACGTTTCTCTCCTTTTTCCACTGATTCCACCCGAATGCGCTCGCAACTCGTTCGCCTAGAAGCGCATTTCAAAAGCACGAGAGTTATTTTGATCTTATCGTCGTAATAAAATTGTATCGCCCGTGTAAGACGACACAGCCGCACCTGCCGCTCGTTGTATCCGAGTTAATATAACTGTTGCGCCCTGTGTCGTCTGCGCGGACGCTTCTATTTTCGACCCGCGATAAAACTGGCCTTGCCGCGGCGCAGCAATTGTTAATGGAGTAAACGTCGTCACACGATGTAGATTCTATTTATACAGACAGAGAGCGAGGCTCGCGCCCCTTTGGTGCAACGTTATTTATGTCATGCGGCGAATACAATCCGTGTTGTAGTAATAATTTGTTTCATGTACTCACACTTTTGTATGTTCATTCAGCAAAATCGCTTTGTAAGATATATGTATCTAATGCTATCTGTCGACGGATGTATAAGTAATTTATATGTATATATTCACATATAACACAGTATATATTTTGTTAACGCACGACGTGACAATACAATTAAAACTTTGTACGATTTTATAATTTCAACCGTTTCATAATTATTCGATAATTGTTACATTGTTTCCGACTGCATTGCGTGCCAATATTTGCTTAATTAATTGTACGATACGCGCATAATATAAATAATTAATCGTTCAATATTGATGCGTCGGAGAAACATATGGCGCTACCGCGCTGGGTTCTCTGACAAATATTTGCCTTCGTGTAATTTACCGCCATTAAAAGACGTCCACGCCGTGTATATGTATATTCGAGTGCGCACAAACACATCTACTTATCGTAAATTACTTGTGCACTCCCATAAGAACGCGCTCCGAACTTGGAGGGACGATACAATCGCTAATCGACATTGTTAACGGTGCGTGATAATGCCCTAACGACCCTAGTTGCGAAAACCATTCATTTGGGTTCGATGGTTCCGAGCACAACGGCCTAATACCTTTACAGTATTTCTTAATTAAGCGCACACCGAGAGAGTATTAGCGATATCTGGAATCGTTACGAATCTTGCGGCCGTTATATCTCATAAAAAAAAGAGAAGGGCTGCAAAAACGGAGGGTCGTGGAAGCGTAGAAACCATTGTTGTCACAAATATATCGGCGCATAAACGTATAAATTGTTCTTTATTTTGTTGATTTGGGAACCCAATGATTATCCGGGCTACTTTTTATGATTATACGCGTTATATATATATGTACAAGATATGCTTGCGCGGTTGCCTTATGAAAATAAGAACCGTTAATTAATAATCTGTTTATCAAGTTAAACGAGATGGTAGCAATTATTTTGAGAATTTGAAAATATAAATGTTATTTTAGATTCCATGTTAATCCTACATATATTTGAAATAGAGCTCATTTTTTACTCAAACGATCGTTAATACCGTATTTAAATCCCACGGACTTTAGAATCTCAATATGTAACGAGAGAGGACGATTCGCTCTTTAAATCTTCTCTCTCTGTGTACGTTCATGTCATGCTCCAATTCTTGCGTACACGTTTTTGCATCTAAATGCATTTCCGCGAAAGCTTTTAATCGCCGTTTGCAGAGCATCCGGTTTTGGTCCGAGCAATAAATATATAATCCGACTTTGTGAAAAACTTATTTGATATATCGTTATTTTACCGTATATCCCATCCATGGGCTCTAATTTTCTGTCAAGATACAATCAGAGAATAAATTCTATATCAGGTTTAATCAATTCTTTCCGCATCCAAAATAAAATAGTTGTAATTATAATTTGGCATAAAACCGAAAAAACTTAATAATATTTCATATTTTCGAAAATTTGTCTTTGATACTTTTTGCCAATTCGGACGTGTATAATTCACTTTCTTTTATCTAAAATTCGCTGCATTCCGTGGGAACAAAAACTCGAGCGCATAAAGAAAGAAACGCGCTACATTGATGGTTGTATGTAAATGAAGCAGGCAATGTAAAAGAGCGAGATTATTAATCGTGAAATAATATCGCATTAAATTGAATCCCCACGGAAAGGCAAATGAGAACGATGAGAGTCAACGTAGTCGATGGGGAATTTTTAGGAAATTTATTGCTCTTACCGTGATGGCGTTTGAGAGATCACGATCGAATCGATTTAAAATCGACTTTAGTCGAAAACTCAGATTCTGCTCGCGCGATAAAATCGATAAGACGATGTTTTCTAGGAAACAGTTATTTTTGAAGAATTTGCGTCACATACACATACATACATATACATACAGAGATTTAAGTTTCTGCGCACGATTTCCGACGATAACGACGTTGAATATGAAACCACACGATCATTTTTCGTGTTCGCAACTGATCTTTACGACAGATTTATGCAGCGCATCTTATTGGCAATCGAATCTTACGGCACGTGCAGAACGAATATTTGCGATCTTTCTCTCTTTTTATCGCGCGGACGAAAATACGAAATCATAAAGAGAGCCACGGTTGCAATTGAATAAAGTTAGTCCGATGTGCGGGGCCCCAACTCAGCCCGCACAATGGCAGATTAGGCGCGCGATCATTTTTTACATTCGTCTGGCTTCGTTCCAGCTGACACTGGCATATGGCCGCCAAAGATTACGAGGGTACCGCCACCGCCGCGACCGTGTCCAATTTCCAACGTTATTATTATTTTAATCCCTTGAGCCCGAGGCAAGGTGCCATGCCGTACCCGCGGCGGATAGCGAAAATATTCTGCACCACGGTAATTTCAATTGCAAAAGCGCCCTTTTTAACTTCTCACAATCCATCTCGCTATGCGTACCGCACTGACTTTGAAAAATGAAATACATTCTGCATGTGGTGCATGCGGCGCAAGTGATTAAATAGATTTCACGGTTAATGTGCAAAGATATGTACTGTGTCAAGAACTCTTCTGTTTGAGATCAACAAATTATTCAGCAGTAAGACGGTAGTAACGGTAAGACCACCATCGTGTGATGCTCTCGTAATTCACATAAATCGTCATAAATCAAAACGTGTCATTTTTAATCAATATCTTCTTCGAATTATATACAAGACATTTTTGCTGCGCAAAATACTCACTTTTCGATCGCGTACGCAAACTAGATCGAACCTGTTTGTAATCGAAGGTGCAGATGGTCCAGAACAAAATTCAGGACATGGTAACACGATACAACAAGGAGAGAGAAAGGGGGAGGGGGATCGAATGTCTCTGGGGTCTCGATTCGCTATCGCTCCTCGGTCAAGGCACGATCATCGCGTGGGATAGAACCTGCTGACGCGCTTCGAGGACCTTTTATCCGGTGTGTGAAACGCGTCTTCTATCCTTCGTGTCTGTCAGGAGTTGGTTGAGTCGTGAGAAGGTATGGGGTCAAGCGTATGTATGCGCACATACTCGACCACCTCGGCCGCGGCTCTTGACAGAATTGACATGTTTGGAACTCGTCTACCCCCGCTTGCGGATTCGCCGGACCTCGACACGACAATACACTCTTCTCGAAACCGAAAGTCCCCGCGCGAACGCCGCTGGGCATTGTGCAAACTTTCTATGGAGTATCGATCATAGTACGCGGCCAATACTTGCCGTTAATCGAATTCGACGCGGAAACAGTGACGGATTTAGAGCTTCGGGGACTTTAAATGGAACGACGTTTAGTAGGAACATCACGGCACGTACATTCGAAACGGCCCTTTCGATTGGCATTCTCTGTGCTGCAATATCGCCGACAAGTATTAAGAGTATCGAGGGTGCTGGGCTTCATTTTTCGAAGCACG